TCGCTACCAGATGAAACTTCCCAGTGATATGTTGATGATTTGCTAATTTATGGTTTTTAAAATCTAGGAATTCTAAATATTGCTGGGGAGTCACATGGGCTATGAGAGGAGAGTGTTCAATGGCTTTCCTGACAAGGGATCAAAGATTGTGTAAAATACAAGACTTCAGTCCCGTTTCAACCTGGGCTATGTCTGACACAGAGAAATCGTAAATGACATCCTATAGGAAATATCCCTCCCAAGAGGGCTCCACCCTGCCTAGCCCTGGGAGAAGTGAGAGTGAGTGTCACCCGAGACCCCAGTAAACAGGAAAGGAAAGCAGGCCCACGGCATCAGGCCAAGTTAACACCATATGAATCAACCTAAATCCCACTGCTGCACACTGGATGCCAAGCAGGAGAGTAACCACAGCATTGTAGAATGATTTTCTAGAAACTGAGGCAGGTTTAAGTAAGCTTTCGAGCTGAAATTCCCAACCATTTAGGCGGTCAGATAGCATGGAGCTTGAAAGAGAATGACAGAACTGTGGTACAGCTGGAGGATTCAATGGGTATGCTGGAATGTATCTGTCCTCAATGCCTGGCACAGAGGAGTAGGCAGAAGGAAGCCCAGAGCAGGGTCTCAGCAAGGAGGAAAGCTCATGAGTGAGAAGAGCAAAGACACAACTAAATTAGGACCCAATCATAAGAAACCAGAAGGAGATGCAAATGGCCCTGAGCCTCCTGGACCAAGAGCAATGACCAGGTGAGTTGTAAAGGAGATAACAGTGATTCTTGGCATCCTTGGAATACTGGGTCCAGATAAGAGTAGAAAATATGATGCCAAGTACACATAAACCCCTTGAATAAATTCACTGTTATCTCCAGGATATCATGAATGGTCACAAGATCTCAAGATAGTCCAACCTAAGGATGCCAAAAGTTGCCTAATAAAACACTTAGCACTGGGGTTTCAATGGCTTTTTACAGTGGAGCGAGATATCGTTTAACTGTAATAATCATGGCCCACTCTAGAACGGGGATGTCACCATGAGATTTTTCTTCCATGCTAATTACATTCAGTTTCCTGTTCTCCTTTTGCCCACCCCTTGTCTTTTAATATTCATTCTTCTCCACATGTTCTCTCAGCATTTGGCTACCAAAAATCGGTAGAGTTATCTAAACCCATCCTATTCTCTCTCTCCCAAATCCCTGGGTCAGGGCTACCTCAATTTCGGGCCACTAAACCACATCATGGAAAATGCAAGGCCTGGATGGCTCCCCAGCTGTGCTGTCTCTGTCCAGGGGTTACAGCTGACAGATTCCTCTCTGTGGCCAATTATTTTCCATGGCCCTTGGCTATATGACCTTGGACCATGATCTTGTCAGTTCTTATAAACTAACCAGGAGGAGAATGAATTACACTCGGAGAGGAAACCTCTGGGGAAAACTGCAAGAGGCTATGGGAGGAGGAAGATGGTAAACCAAGGACCCCAAGGCCATGGGATTCTCAGTGTCACCCATGCCTCCACCATCGCAGAGCTGCTTTCATTGTATATGAAGAGAAGGGGTCAGAGTGAAAAGCCTCGAGGAGGCAGACTCGGCTGTAGGAGGGCTAATATATTGAATGAGATTTAGAGTCTCAACCCAAGAAGCTAATTGTCTCCAATATTCCCAACTTGGATAACTTTCTCAGTCCCTGATTGAACCCTTCAGTGGTTAACATTCAAGCCTATTCTTAGGAATCCCAAATAAGTTACGTGAGAGTTGGCACATTTACAGGTATCTGTACCGAGTGCTGGGATGGATGACTTGGGGTGTGATGACTAATGAAAAGGCCTTGCCAGGCTTTTGACTCCATGTGGATGGGGAGGAAGTTTTGGGAATGCAACAGCAATTATTATATTGTGCCAAACACATTGATTAAAATTCACAAGGAGGCGCCAAGGAAACCTCCATATTCCCCAATATCCCATATGTGGTTTCTGTATTCTCCAAGCCCCAAGTTTTTCCACTTAATTATCACTTAGATAAATATACCTGCTTAATATAATTACTAAATGCAATTACTTAAATAAACATACTTATATTTCTATTCTGAATAATCTTTGGATTTCAGATTTCTGTCTCTTAGCAGTTCCGGTACCTTCAGTTGTCTGACAAGTTGTGAGTGGTTACTTCTGAATAAAATATGCACATACCAAAAGATCTCTTGACTATGTATACATTTAGTTGTTTTATAGGCATCAGCTGAATACAGTCTTGGAGAGTAGCATGTATACAACATGTGTGGATGGGAACAGCCCATGCATTTTTACATGCACAAAAACTCAAAGTGCTGTCTGCTTTTTTTAAGAGTCTAAACTCCAGCTCTCAACAAAGTTAAGCCCCCTTCCTTTTGCAAATGCATTTAATTTTATCTGGAAACTTTTTGACATTCGAAATAGAACAACTGTAGTTTCTCATTATGTTTGCTGCCAGAATCCATGCTTCGTTGCTCAAGTAAAGACCTTATATTGCTAATTACTACCACATGCCCATATCCCAAGCGAAAGGAAACTTATTGATTCTGACAGCCCATTCTCTCAACACTGAATTCCAAATGAAAACTCAAATTTTGGCCAAACATAACATTTCATCAATCTTGTTCTACTGACTGGAAAAACAACATCAAACAAAGGGTGCTAATGGCCCTTTATTACCATTCCTTTCCCAAGCTTATATTTTCTGATGAAAGATCTAAGTGACCAAGGGCTTCTTTAAACTACTTGGTAATTAGCTTTTGAACCAGGAAACAATGCATAAAGTAAAGGGAACAGCCCTGGTGTTGATGACAGGACATACCTTATATCCCCATATCCCCGAAGGGTCTGGGGACATTGGAGACCCAAAAGAGAATGTTAAAAGCAAAGTGCATTTTCATAAAGGGGCAAGAAAAAGAGGGAGGAGGGGGAATCAGGCTAAAAGCAGTGATAAACGATTACAGAGCCAGAATGAGACTGGAGGCGCTCTGTGATCTAAAGCTCTCAGCAGGTGGGGCTTTGGGTGGACATGCCAGACTTTAACCCTGACCAGATCAGACCACAGCAGACCACTGAGTACTGGTCTTAGGGCCTCATTTTGGCCACCCATCAGCAAAATTTGTCAGCCAACAGCCCACCCATATTGGGTCACAAAACTGTTCTGAAGAAAAAAAAAATCCACCTGGAATGAGAATCAAGAAATACTTTCAACTTAGATTTCAAAGCCATTGACTTTATTGACTTGATTGGGGACAGGGATAAGGAGATGCTGACTGAGACCAGTGGGCTGGGACAGCTATAATGAGGGCCTGGGACTCTCAAAATACCATCCATTGTACAGAGACCTGTACATATCTCAAAGGCACACTGAATTAGGAGGCTGTTTTCCTCTTGGCTGGAGATAAATGATGGAGGGGGAATCTTTGGGCTTATTTGGCCTTTTGGAACCAATCAATGGACCAGACTTCAGGACAGCTTGATTCTAACCTTATCCAGGACTGTTAAGATAATAGGAAGGGGAGAGGCCTATGGGGGGGGGGGAGATGGGGAGATGAGCTGCCTTCCTGAGAAGATGCCAACTGGCCTCCTTTCCAATTGTCCTTTGTGTCCATGAGAGGAAACTGCTGTCCTGTGAGTAGTTCAAGGAAATGAGCTTTTTCTCCACCTCCTCATTTTCTGAACAGAGGACTAGACACCTGGGCTCAGGATGTATTGGATTCAGTAATCATAGAGAAACTCCCTGAGCTCCATCCAGCAGGGCCAACTGGCAAGATAGGATGGGCAGCCATGGAGATGGGGGGGGGGCATGTCCTATAGGCCATTCTGGTTCTCTGAAACACCAAACTAATCTAATAATGTGACAATAAGTAAGAATAAGTAACAGGATAAAAGAGCTCCATGATGGGGGGATGGGGGATGGGCATGAATGGAACAGGTGTCCCCATTTTAATACAGAAGTGAATGGCAGTGTCTAGGATATAAGTCAGTGCACATTCTTCTAGGTGTACACAGAATGTGTGGCCATTTCATTCTATGAATGCCAGGCCCTGTAATAAAAACAAAGCAGAATGGCCTTCTGAAAGCTTTCAAACCAAGCACTTATTGACTTTTGGAGGCAGTTGTAGCCACCCCATCTCTTCCCACTAAGACTTCTCTGTTGAGATGGCCCCCTGACATCAGCATTGTAATAAAACTCCTAGTCCCTCCTGGACCCATGCCCTGATACTGATGCTGATAAAATGACCCAAGCACAAACTGATACAGTTCCCAAAGAAGGAAACCTTCATGTTTGGGAACTCAAACATGCCTGTGGCACTGACACAGCACAACTGTGACATGCCCTGACCAGGAGGCATTCCCACTGTGCCAATTAACAACAAGGTGAGGAAATTACTGGTTCAGAGAAGAATGTGTTTCCTGGTGGTCACAGGCATTCCACCTGGGAAGATGGACCTATGCTACAGTTCTAGCCCACATTAGTACATGTACCAAATCTACCTGGGAATGATGCCACCTCAGTCAGAGGGACCAGAATTTGATTACTTCACCTACTCAGGAAATGAGCTTTGTTTGTATGATAAGGATTAGGGTAGAAAATATAGTCCCAGGTGCACATGGACCCCTTTAAAAAAATTCAGTCATCTCTTGGATCAGCCATCTCCTGTGCTTTCAAACCATGCCACGACAAAAGCACACTCTCCCTCATTAAACAAGTGGGCATGGTGTGGGGAGGGGCATGATCCAATGTCACAGGTGCAGGGACCCTACAAGTCACTCAAGCACATCTCCTCTGGTACGACTGACTTACTTTCTGCCTCCATGTTTGTTAAAAGTCCCGCCGAATTTATTCCGATTCAGGATGAGAGCAGCAATTTCGGGCACGTAGCGGGCAAACATTGCCTACATGCATGAGACAAAGAAACAAGAGCCAAACAGAAATGGCATGCAGAGAGGCTCCTATGCCGGCCACGGAGGCCGCGAAACCTCTTGGCATACTTACTTTCTTCCACTAACCGCGCTATAGGAGCCCCCGTATTTCTTGCGGTTTCCTATTAACTCTATGATTTCAGGGACGTAGCTGGCAAACATGGCCTAAGGAGAAGAGGGGAGACAGAAGAGAGACTAAAAAGACAGGCCAAAGAAAGGGTGACCTTTTCAGAGGGGGAATACTAAGATCTGAAAACACAAAAGGATTAGACCTGTGAAGGTGCGTATTCTCATGTTGGATTATACAAAAATAACAGGACAAAGGGGAAAGCTCCTGAAAATGCAGGACATGAAACAAACAGGAGTGGACCTAGCGGTCTAGAAGACAACAACAAATCATGGGCAAGAAAAATGCAAATGAGACCAGAGTAAATGAGCTACTGTCTTCTTCCTGAAGGAAAGTAGCCTAGAGGCTTGTAGACTGGTGGAAAGCACACCCATGCATGCATGCGCCTGCACACACACACACACACACACACACACACACACACACACACACACACACACACACATATTTTTGTCAGAAAAACCCTCTCAAATAACACTCAAAGGAGAATATTTTTATGAGTGGCTAAAGGCACTAATACTAAAAGAAGATTACAAATAAGCATGTTCAATTAAAATGACTAAAAAGCAGAAGAGGTCAATTTTGGAAATCATACAAGAGGAGAGGATAGCAAGGAGACACGAAACTGCCATGTTTTGCCCAACAAAAACTGTTCTGTGGCTGGATAATGGGGTTTCCTTATCTATGGGACCTGCAGAAATGGTGTTAATGTCCACCACCACACACATTTATATACATTTTCAAAATGTATATGTCCTATGCATACAGAAGACAGAAATGTATGCATTGCTTCATATAAATGCGTGTGCAGTGCACATATGTGACAGCTGCATGTGGACTAGTATCTTAACCACTTACCTCATACCCAGAAAAAAAATCATACTCTATTATGAGCTACTTTGAAAGACAAAGTGGAGCAACTGCTGATGTATTGCCATTCCCTGGAATTACAGCATATGCAATGGCCTCTTACTACATAGGGACCAGTGAAGCTAATTTCAGCGAGAGAAATGGAGTGGACTTTGAACATAGTCATGGTTCTAACAATAATGACATGTCCTAAATGAAGGGACACTGCTCTTTAGGGAAGGTGCCAGCCACAGTGTTTGTTGGAACTTTTCAGAGGAACATAAGGGAGAGGGGAACTCTTGAAACCGCCATCTGTCTAGAGTCTGGATAGCATCATCTATCAGAGTCAACAGCAGCAACTATATCTGAATTCCACTACTAACGGACACTCTCATTTATTAATAGCATCTATCTCTAGATAATTAGGTTTGCTCCTAGCTATGTGGCTGCCCCAATGAGGACATTATACCTGGGTCTGAGGGATAAGCATAACACTAAAGAAATACACAACAAAGTCGCCATAGTGTTTGGATTTAGCTTGCCTGGTCGGTTGCACTAGTGAGGTTACTTGCTTCCAGTGCAGAACACATAAAAAACACAAAGTCTAAGGAAGTGGGTAGTAGCAAATATTAAAAACCATTAAAATGGACATAATAAGAAAGAGGGTTTTTTTACCAGTCCCCCGAGAATGAAGAAGACCATGAAGAGACGTCCAAGCGTAGTTTTTGCATAAACATCCCCGTAGCCCACTGTAGACATTGTGACCATTAGTAAGTAGACACATTCCCAGTACGTAAGTGCCTGGTTGTTTTGGAAATTTTCCCATGGGTCCCCTGAATTCTCCACCTACAGCAAGAGGATGGGGGTGGGGAGAAAAGAAATGTATCAGGTGTACATTTGTACTGTATATAGAAGTCAGGAAGCCCAAGGCTCCAGAGGGCTGTTTTTGCATAAGCTTCCTATTCTCAGTACAGGATAGATGATTCCCTGCACTAGTCACTGAGGAGTCATGCCCCAGAAACCCTCAGCTGGTACTAGAGAAGAAGAAATAGATATAGCAACAGGGAATGCTCTCTGACTGACTGGGGCACCAAGGAGAGGAGATTGGTAGAAACGTCCCTGACGCGCTTTCCTGCACAAAGTCCTGATGCTCTGACCTTTTTTATAGAATTCTCTTGAAGGCAGAGGTGAGACAGCTCTTTCCATCTTTCCCCTGGGAATATCTGCTAATATCCTAGACCTGCCACAAAGAGCCCCACACTTCTTTTCATTATTATAACTAAGGACACCAGGCTCTGTCAGAACCCCAAACATCATGTCCTCTTCTGAGGCTTCAGTAGCTTTCTTTGCAGAAGCCCACTGGCAATTCTGCACTTGCAACTCGGGGACCTTCCTCTGGAACAAGAAGTGTGAACTCTTGGGAATTGCATCACACAATCTCTAGACCAAATGCCCTGCAGATTTTTGGTAAATGGCTATTATTAGGTTCAACTAGGGCTGCAGAGTTCCTGGGGTCTGCATAGCTACTCAACCCTGTGAGTGTAGCTGGAACCCAGCAGGGAGCAGGCAGTGGGTGTTCAGCTGGATTTAGGAAACCTGAGCCTGGAAATGCAGACTGCTTTTAGCAATTGGCTTCAGCAGCAATTAGGATGACAAAGGGTGAGATTTGACTAGACTGCCAGCAGTATAAATAGTTGCATAGGGACTGGACTCGGTGGTTAAGAACATACACTACTCGTACAGAGGACCAGAGTTCAGGTCTCGGCATTCACTTCTGGCAGTCTGCAATCTCCTGTAACTATAGCTCTTCTTAGATTTAAAGATTTAAAACCCTCTTCTTGCCTCCATTGGCACACCCACATATGTGAGCATATCCCTATACAGACACACAGGCATACACACAATTTAAAATAAACACATATATTCTTTAAAACCTCATGTGAAATCCCCAATTATCTAGTTTAACAGCTGATGGAGACAAGGTCTTTTATTCCAAGTTTTATAGTCTGATGGGGCTCCTTCCAGTTGTAACAGTTTATGTGCATATGAAATGTGCTTTAACAGTAACTATGCTTTCTGAAAGCAGGCAAGAAAAAAATCATCCTGGGGCTGTCAATGAGAAGGGTTAGCTTAGTAATAGCATTCAAAGAGTCTTCAATTAAAAATAATAACAATAATAATATTTTCAAGGTTTGAAACAACTTGACCAGTCATCAAGTAAAAGAAACAAAGGCAACTTTTTGTGAGAGAGAAGTAGAGACAGATCCAGGGATCTGAATTGTTGTTTACAAAGAGCTTATGTGGTTCAAACTGAGCATTGGTGCGAGACTTTTTCTTTGCATTTGCTGTGGAAACACTGCCATCTTGTGGCTGTCTGCAGTTATTGCATACAGAATGAAAACTACAAGTCTCCTTGAAGCAATACAGATAAAGCTGGACAATACAGGTCGATCGTGTGAACATTATGGATCATTTGGAACTAGTTTGTGGGGAAGTAGAGGGTAAATAATTCTGAAAATTGTATGGTTTGTCCCTCTTTCCTGTATCTACAACCAAACTTTTCTCTCTTCAAAGAAACAAATGTTAAGTAATAAAATGACTCAGCAAGGGCCTGCTCCAGGCCAGCCAGGAAGGCATAGTCTTCAAAGCTACTTACCAAGTGGATGAATCCAGCTGCTGTCAGCCAAGTGCTGATAAATATGGAGAGCAGATTCACCAGCTTGATGGAATTGCTGTGCAAAGGAGACAAAAAAAAAAAAAAAAAAAGAGGCCCAAGTTACAGAAAGGAGACCCTCTGGGAACAGCCTGATGGTGTCAAAAGGTCCCCTGCTTGATCAGGAGCGAAGGGCTCAACAGAGTCTGTTGGAAAAGTCACAGTTGGACTCAGCCCTCTCAAACTTCATTAAATCTTAACTTTTCTCTAAAACAAAATTATCCAAACATACAAAAAAGAAGAGCAAATAAACTTTGTGTGTCCTTCACTTCGTTGACATTTCCCACATCTTCAGTATCTCTGAATATTCTGCCTTGTTTTCTTCAATGTGTCTCTTCTTTCCACTTACATTTTTATGCTTTGTTTGAGCCACTGTGTTGTGGACATCACAGTACAACCTGTAATCACTGCAGCATTCAGCTCCTCAGAGAGGACACCATGCATTAGATTTATGACTCTGTTGTATCTAAGAGAACTCAACTCAGCAACAGGATCTAACATACAATCCTTATTTAAATGACTCCAGTTGTCCTGAGATTATGCTTAGTGAAGTTTCTATCATTTTCATCTTGCAGAAAAGAACTCTTATCTTTTACCTCCTGGCCCAATACAGCCCCTGGAGATGCTAGCCCTCACTTTGGGCAACTTATCTAAGACACCACTGCCCGTTTTCCGCCCATCTCTTTCCCTTGGGTGACATTACCTACATTCTAAGAGCTCAAAAAGTTAATAATGGTGACATATGAGGCTTTCACAGTATGTATGTAGTGCTCAACCCATGAACCTCCATGTTGAGTGTTAGATGTAACTGACTCAATCTTCATAGGACCCTTTGAGACCAACAGGGGTGTTAGGAAACTCGCCAGTTTTACTCAGTAAGCTACACAGCTAGAAATGGAACTGGATCCATTGTGTTCACTTTTGGATCCTTTACACCATAGCCACAGTGTCGTGTCAATTAGAATAACTTCATCAATGGCTGCTGGAATTTGGACCTTGAATTTATAGTGAAAAGAACAGGATAGAGCCTATGGTCTATTAGGCGGTCCAGGGTTTTGCAAGGGAGGCCTCCCCAACAGAGATTGTAGTCATTTGTCCTGGGTCAAGCATGGAGCTTTCCTTCACTTACACTTATGTCACTGAAGAAAGGCATCCACGGTCTCTGTTTGCCTGGAGTAGATTCTGAGAGCCCAGGAGCAGAATGAGTAAGTGCTTCCAAAGCTGTGCCTGAGACTGACCTTTTGAGGTGTGGTGGGACTCCATCCTCCTAGTCTGAAACCACTTGCCAAGAAAGCAACAGACTGCCCATTCTGTGCATCTTGGTCATCTGCAGAATTATTCTTTGTAATTCCTGCTATTTGCCGAAGTCGTGTTATGTGTTAAAAATTTCATTGAGTCCTTGGCCTTCTTCAAAGTCTCACCCTTTACTTTAATGCAGGCAGTAGGTGCTAACACTACTGTCACGCACCACCTAGGAAACAGAGGCTTAGAGAATGTATTTAGCTTGCCTGGGATTCAGTTTTTAAGTGGTAGGCTGCATGAAAGTAACTTGGGCAAACAGTATAGGAAGCTGGGGGCCTTCTTTTCTGTCACCCTGTGATTTGTTCATTGCCTTTTCCTAAGGACATACATCTCCCCACAGACCCTGACCTAGGAGACAAGGGTTTCACTCAAGAACTCCTACCTTTACTAAGAAGTCCAAAGTAGACAGGCCTATCAGACATGCTTTACAGGAACTCTGTGGAAGAGAGTTCTAGCCCTTCTCACATACAAGCTTTGAATAACCTACCCTACAAAAGTCCTCCTAAAAACAGGACCCCAAAAAAAGATGGAGAGAGAGGTAGAATCCCGAGGAAGGAAGCTGAATGCCTGGGTGCAGACATGCCTAATTAGCGTTAGCCATTCCCTCTTGGACCCAGTCATTCTGGAGGTGGGTTTTGTTACACAACATAAATGGCTCATATCCAGAATGTTCCCTGAGAGCTCATAATTGGTCAGGTCTGTCTAATCTATGGCCTGATGTGGTTAGCTCTGTGGCTCAAGATGCCATGGTTTGAAGTTGGCACTCTTGAGGACAAACATGCTTGTGCTAGATCCTGACCTTCCAACCTTTTCCAGATACCTCAGTGGGTCAGTCTACCCTTTGCCTTATCTCAAAGCCAGTTCTGTGACTGGGCCTAGACTCACCAACTAACACAATAATGCTCTGACCAATTTCCTGCAAGCCTTTCTCTGGGACATACCGGGATCCTTGCCTCTTTGCTACATGGAGCAGCTGACCAGGCTGGAGGTCCCTCACTGGCTCTCAGACTTCTCTTTATCAGAAGGGTAGTTCTGTGAGTCAGAGATCATCAGGGTGTAAGTAAAATGAACAGAGCCATCTGAAGTGCCATCTGAAGTGACTCTGGCAAGCTAGTAGCTCACCCTGCTTCATCAGTCTGGGTTACCACTACATCTTGCTCCCTGTGAATTCCTCAATGGAACCAAAGTAGGGCTACCATTTCCCTGTCTCTACTTTGCAAGCTCCCTAAGATGCAACCAGATATTGAAGCGGAAGAAATAGGGAGAACAGGTAGCCTGTGGCAAAAGGAGGGGTCGTATGTTCTGCTCTCACTTTCCCCAAGGAGAATTCAACACCTAATTGAGTCACTTATACACTCCCAAGTCCTCAGGGCCTGAAAACGTACTGTGCCATCACCAACTGTGTGGAGTCATTTCAAGATATTAAATCTATTGATGTCTCTGAGTCTCTTGGTGCTTTGGGAAAATGGCCTAAATATGGTGATTATTAATCTCTAAATGATTGTCACAGGATATTAATGGTGCTTAAGGGAGCTCTCCCTGTGTGCAGAATATTTCATCATTGTTGCTGAGACAGACCAGGTTCTGTGACAGCAGTACCACAGATAACTTGCATGAGGGAGAGGGCTTGCAAACTGAGCTATGATCACATTAATGTTTGAAAGTTATGTACAAAACATGCAAGATTAACTCTCAGTGGATGCACTGTCCTTGTAATATGGACTTTGCCATGTGAGAGAGGACTGCTTAGGAGGGAGGGGTTGCCAGGAGAAGAATATTGTGTTATGTGTGGCCTTCATGGCCAAGCTCAAAAGCTTGGATAAAGCATGAAACCATCAATCGTTACAGTGTCTCTGACTGTGCAGAGTCTAGCTCCTTGCCTTTAAGGAGAGATTGTGATCCTATCATCAAAACCTGGCCCCTCTTTTAAAAGAAGTAATTTTTGTGTTTCCATAAAAACTTCTGAATTCCTGTCCATAAATTCTCCATGGCTGTTCTGGTTTGGTATATTTCTTAGTTACTCTTCTATTGCTGTGATAAGACAGAAAAAACAAACAAAAAATATTTCCTGGGGCAAGTCCTGGGGCTGGGGGCATGGCAGCAGACATGCAGGCATGGGCCTGGAGCAGAAAGGAGGGACTTACATCTTATTTGCAGAGAGGGCTAACAGGGAAGGCATGGGCTTTTGCAACTTCGAAGCCCCCCCACCCCCCAACCCCCCACCCCCCTCAGGTACACCTCCTCCAACACTTCTACCCAACTGAAACTAAGTATCTAATATATGAGCCTCTAGGAGCCAGCCATTCTTACTCAAATCATCACAGTAGGAAATGCCTCCCAAGGGCTATTGTGTTAAGAGAACTTGGTCCGCCACAGATGGTAGTTTTGGGAGGATCTAAAAACTTTAGGAAATAAGGCTTAGATGGAGGAAATAGGTTAGAAGGGGTATATTCCTGGAGGCTACATCTTGTCTGTAAGGCCTTCTCCCATTCTCAAATTCTTTATCCTCTCTCCCTCCAGGTAGCTCTGAGGTGACTTCAGCAACAAGTAGGAGCAACAAAGCCAGCTGAACATGGATGTAAAACCTCTGAAACTGAGCCCAAATCATTCTTTGCTCCCTGAAGTTGTTCCCTCAGGAATTTTGGCACAGAGATGAAAGTCAGATTACCACTAGACACTAGTCATCAACATGAATGGACACAGTGAATCGTCAATGGGCAGACAGAAACCTGGTAGATCAGTGACCTTCACCAGGACTCATGCCTGCTAGGAAAGACAGTCTAACTCCTAAGTTATAGCAGTAAAGTCGAAGCTGTCCAGGCCTCACACCTACCCTTATAGACATAAGACACATTCTGGTTAACCCTGAAACTGCCAGACACTTTGCACAAGGAAGCAAGAATTTGCCCCTGTGACTGTTTTCCACCTTGTTTCTGCTTGAGGGAGCAGCCAGGAGCCAACAGCCCTTTTTCTTTTCATTGCAACATTTGCTGAGTAGCTATGAAGTGTCCTAAGCTGGAGAGTTGACCGGACGATGCCAAACTGAAATTAATGACTTTTGAGATACAAAATGGAGCAAGGTCAACTATGTTAAGTCTGCACCTTAGTTATTTTTATACTAGTCTCCTTCTGTCCCCTGACCTGCTCTGGGGCTAGGCCCTATTCCCTGGACTATTCTTCCTTTCTGGTCTTCAGCTCTATGAAGTCTTAGATACTTCAACTCTAAACAAGGAGTGAACGAGTGGATTTTTAGAATGTTGTCTCCTTACCTTCTCTGCTAATTAAAAGCCTTCAATATGTCCATCTTGCTCTCCAAATAACCCATCAATCTAAGTGACTGCATGGCGTGGCTTCTAGCTCACATCTCTTGCAATCATCATATCAAATATCCTGCTTTATAGACTGTCTTGGAGTCATTCCTGAGGTCATATATGTAATACAATTAATTTCAATAATGCTCTTTACATGTTTTCTGTAGGCAGTGGGTGTGCACACAAACTATACAGAGGTAAAAATGGCATGGTAGAGAGTAATGGCTGCCTGAGCACAGCACAGGGTATGGAGTGTTTTATTCACCCTTTGCACTCTTGCACAAAATAGTACCAACATTCACAGAGGGCACATTAGAAGAAACAATAAGGCAATTTTCATCTTGGGGGAAAATGTATTAGGTAAGACATGTTTTAATAAACATGATTGAACATGTTGAACGAGATGTGCAATTGAAGACCGTTAGTAGGTTGTACTTGGTTCTCTTGGTAGAGCAAATGGCCCAGCACAAAGTTGTTGATGAAAGTCACCAACTTGCAGGATGACTGAGGAACATCCAACAGCTCACACAGATGACCCAGCATCTCTTGCTGCCTAAAGCAGGCCATCCCAGGACACAGAGTGTCTTAGGCCTCTGTTAAGTTAGTTTGGGCACTTGCCCAGATTCTGGCTATACAATGTCCCTGTTCACTCTGGTCCCTTCTACTGTCCTCTTAACTCTTCACCCCTCCCCCTTCACACTTATTTCTGTGCCCCATTTCTTTCAGTTCTGAGCTGAATGAATCAATGGAAGAAGAGGAAATAACGACATGCTTTTTATCACATTGGTAAAGCCTCCTGCCTTACCTAATACCACAGATCAGCAGGGGTCACCACTAAAGAAAGCCAGACAGAATCTCCTTAAACATGGCACAGCTTCCTAACCCCAACCCCTGTTAGATGGTCACTGTGAAAGCATCAGAGTCTACAGAGTCTACTCTCTCCCTCCTTCACCTAGAAAATGAAACAACATTGTCACTATATAACTATGAAGCAGCTATTCTCCAGAGCAGCCAGATATAACTTCTGAATCTAAACTAAAAGCCATCTTTGCTGAGGAATGGGAAATGGGTGAGTGCCCAAGCACAGGGTCGATCAAAGTGGCCCAGATGGCACATCATGCTGCTGCAGAGGGCCTGTATGCAAATGAGGAGGGCAACAACACCGTTCAATATACATTGTTCCTGCATGTATACAAGGAGGGCAAGAACAATGTACTGCTCTATCTGCATTATTGCTCAGAGGAATGGAATCTCCTAGAATCCCAGGATCACAGAATAAAAGTCTCATTAACTTATGAGATAAATGACAAGTAGGAAGAGTCCTGAGGGTATATGAGAGCATGTAAATGGATATATTTTAACACCACCCTATGTCTACCCCTGCTACATAAATCTTAAGAACAAGGCCCTGGATACTCATCAATTCTCCTTGTGACACAAGTTCAGTATATGTTATTTTTTTTGTCAAGGTCTCACTGTGTGGCCATAACAGTCCTGGAACTCACCATGTAGACCCAAGTGGTCTCAAATTCATAGAGATCCACCTGCTTCTGCCTCCATAGTGCTAGGACTAAACGGCCTAGATAGATATGCTAGCTTTGTTAGTCTTTCTAGCTCAAAAGCAGTACAGGTGTATTGCATAAAAGATCTATAAAAAGGTAAAGCTTAAGGCTACTACTGCTCAAAGGAAATTTTAAAAAGTATTATCCATGAATGACATTATAAAGCAAAAAAATAGAAAAGCATAAAGAGATAGGGGACACCTAAAGAGAGCTTTGTGGCTCTTACATTTTGACATCTATAGAATGTGCATTTTATCTCTTATTGATATGGATGAGTAGTTGGAGGGGATTTAGGATTAAAATAGGAAGCAATAACAAAACAAAGGCACTCTTGTTGAACCCATCAGATTCTAGAAGCTGGGTTCTATATTTCATGACTGTGAAACCAACATGAAGTCCACAGGATCAAATAGCAAGTACATTACTTATGCATGACACAGTACAGAGGTGTCCTGCTTTCTGTCACTCACCAGACTCAGTAAGGCCAACCAAAGAGGAAATGGAACATTAGAAGGAGTCTTCTCAAAATGCAATTTCCTAGTAGAGAAATTCATGAGCTACACTCAGTCCCCCTTAGGGTGTGCCTAAGCTTTTTATTAGTGTGTTCACCAATGCAGCCAGGTTTCAGGGCAGCTTTGGGCACTGACAAATCACCAGGCACAGGATTCCCTAGGGGATTTCTGCTCCTGTCCTAGCCAAGTTTTTCAGATCATAGTGCAGTTAACAGAGGCAGCTATGGTGTATTTGCCTGGAGGTTTTTAGGATTTTCTCCACAAGGCACTCTACAGCACACACCCCAAGGGCTCTATGGATATAAAGTGAAACAGCTCAAATAGACTTAGGAAGAAAATGCTTTTTTGTTTGCCATATGAGGTTTATGATTGCCTGTGGAGGAGCGTTGCTTCTAGAAAAGCCTTGGCCTTTATAGCCAAGTTCAATTTCTTGTTTAGTAGTAACGAAAGGGGCATTTAGGACCTGGCAGCAAGGACTTCCCAATCAATGAACAAAACCATCCCTCATCCACAATGTACCTCTCCCAAGATGCTTAACTTGCAACCTCACTTGGTGCCCAGATACCAGTCATGTGACCTTGCCAGGCTATATCTTCCTCCCCAAATCATATCCCCTTTTCTCTTATTTCTCCCTGACCCTACAGAAGAAAACAACACACACCTTCCCTTAGTAGGTTCACTCTCCAGCTCTATGATATATTGGCTCTTCTTGTGACTGACACAACTATATCATTTTAACATGATAAAAGCAATTGTACTGATATTTACAACCCAGTCCTCAGGAACCAGAAAGGGGTGGGTGGAGTCTTACCTTGTTTTCAGGATATTCAGAAACTGCAAAATTTCTGAAAACTGTATCAGTCTAAGAGCTCTTAAAAATCTCAAGCCTGAAAAGAGAAAAGAACAGAGGTATTATTTCCAACGCTTGGATGCCATGCTTATAGCCCGTTGTCTAAGTTATGGTCACTCATGTCTGCTTGAAGGACTGTGAAGGCCTTGCAGAAGATGCATGCTCAAGTACCTTGGGCCTGATGCTTCATTTTGATTCTCCACTGAGAATCAATGTGAGCTGTTGGAAACCAGGTTAAGGGGATGAGCTAGAAGAGAGGGCCCACAAACAGGGAGATGCTCTCCCCTGGTAAGCTCCATTGAAAAGCCCATTTCTGAGCTTCCCAGTGGTCTGGCAGAATTTGGGTTTCTGAAAAATACTGGGAACTGTGCTCACTCAGGATAACCCTTGTGCTTAAGAGCAGATTAAGAATAAATCGGATTACCTTATCTCTTTGATGATTTTTTTTAATCTTTATTTTCAGCCCAGATAAAATAAAAACTATTGCCCAAAGAGCTACCCATATTCTACAATATTTTATATTTTCTCCCAATTAAAAACAAAATAAAAGAGAAAAACTAAGCACAGATCAATAAGCTACCACACTTCACAATTTCAGGATTCAAAACTTTAATATTTCCATTTCCATTGATGTCCATGTTTTTACCTGTAGCCTCTCTTTAATGGAAAAGATGCAGCTTCTAAGTGGAGAGGGACAATGATCAATGAGTTGTTTCAGGTTTTGTTTTTCAGAACCAGGATGTCATGGCCATAAAAATCACTCCATAGTGAAGGCTGGCCTTGAACTCCGATCTTCCAACCTCTACCTCCCAAATGCTGGATTACAGAGATGTCCCACCACACCCAGCTTTTTCTTTTGTTTCTTCTTTTCTTTCTTCAAGGATTACTCTCTATTTCTGTCTAATTCAAAGTCGGGTGTTAAAAATATTCTGAACAACAGATGATGGTGGCACATACCTTTAATCCCAGCACTCTGGAGACAGAGGCAGGTGGATTTCTGTGAGTTTATAGCCAGCCTGGTTTACAGAGCAATTTCTATGACACCCAGAGCTACAGAAAGAAACCCTGTCTTGAAAAACAAAAACAAATAAAACAAAACAAAATTCAGAATCACTTATGGACTTAAACCTTTATCATTACTCTGGAGTACTTCTTGCCAAATGCCAGCTTTGGGACACCCACTCCCCAAGGACTTCAGGAACACCTCAGGTGCCAGGTGTAGTACTGAGCACAGTGGGATGAGCTGACAGTGACATGCCTAGGGTGAGAAGTGACTGTTCCCCTCAAGGGAGGCAGTGAAAGAAGTCTAGTTTGCATGGTGAGATGAAGTGAGCCATAAGATTCACTAGAAACCCCCCACTGTGAAGCCTGGGTACCTCCCCCACGAACTAACTAGCATGCTATAGAACTGTTTTAATAATGAGAAAAAGTAACCCGTAGTCCAGAGGAGGGAGTGCCCAACTCACAAAGGAAGGAGAAAATGCTAATTGCTCAAAGGGAACATTTCTCATCTGAAAAGAATTCAACTTTGTGAGCAAGAGATGATGTTTAGAAAGCATATTCCTACTTTGCTAAAGGGTATTTATGTAGTTGTTATTAACCCGAACAGGCAGACATGAGAATGCAGGTAGGCTAGATGAAAGAGACCTGGAAAGCTGAGGGCCCAGTCATACCAAACTGATGGAAACCTTGCTTACACAGTCGAAAGCCCAATCTGAACAGACATTGCCTCAAGAAAGGGGGGAAACGGGAAAGAGAAACACAGGGCAAGTAAACAGCAGTGGGTAAGAGACCACAGAGATCCGTTGGAGGAACAAAAGGGAATTCGTACAACTCCGTGGTCAGAAGCAGTAGCCAGAACATAACAGAAAAGAGCTATCTAGAAATGAAAAAAAAAAAAATGGTTTGAGATTAAAATACCCAAGATGAATCTGCCTTTTTTAGTTTTCAAGTTTCAAGTATAATAATCAATAAAACACTGAGTATAAAGCATCATTGTTGGGGTACATATTGAAATCGGAATTGTCAAATGCTATCATTTGAATCTTAAGTGTTCTCTAAAGCTCATGTGTCAAAGGCTTGGTCCCTGGCTGTGGCACCAGTGGGAAGTGGTGGAGCCTTTAACAGATAGGGCCCTATGAATATAAGCTAGGCTATTAGCAGAATGTTCTAGAAGGACCCTAGCCTCCTCTTCTCTTTTTTCCATTTCCCAGTCTGCATGATGTGAGCAGCTACCTTCTACCATGCACTATTTACCATTTACTATTTACAGAAACCTCCATGCTGACCAGCCCAAATCCATCTTTCCCACTTATCAGTTGTTTGTCTCCGGTAAATCGTATTTCAACACAGATGAAAAGCTAACACAAGTAACACTTGGGCAACACTCAGAATTTTTGGAGGGGTCTGACCTAAGGTTTAATAGCGACTCAAGCAGCTCTGAAAGACTAAAATCAGAGCAATACAACATCTTCAAATACCCAATTTTTGTTGTTTACTCAGACTGTACAGATCGGTCCATCAATTGACCAATCAATCAATCAGTCAAAGCCATTAAATCAGGTCAGAGGTTAAAAGTTGGAGAGTACAGTTTCAGACTTCAGGCCATCCAATGATCTCATAGCACCATATCATACAGTGCAAGTAGACAACTTGAAGTAGCCAGCTGGGATAGACTCACTAGCAACATAGCTGCTATTCCCGGTTTATCTACACACATGTTCTTGGGTGTGTTTGAATGCACAGATGGGTGTGTGTATGTAGGTACATATACATGCTTTATGGAACCAAAAATAGAATACCACTTCCCTAAACTTGGAACTGAATTTCTTATATTTTATTTTAAAATGCTAGTGTTTGGAAGTTGCCACATTCTAATGACTTACAAACATATAATACAATGAAAGGTTTTCTTCAGTAGAGGCGGGTGAATATGAAGTTAGGAGTACAGGGAGTGAAGGGGCATAGAGCCTACCTAGATGACTTTTAGCTTTAGCTGTCAACTTGACACAGCTATAGAGACCTTTAAGAAGAGAGAATTCAGCTGAAGAAATGCTCAGATCAGACTGGCCTATTGCCATGTCTCTAAGGCATCCTGTTAATTGGGAAATGATGTAAGAAAGACAAGCCCACTGTGGACTGTATCGTCCCTACACAGCTGGATCTGAGCTATATAAGAAAGTAGCCTTCCTCCATGGTTACCACTTTAAGCTGCTTCTTTGAGTTCCTGCTGTGGCTTCCCTGGATGATGGACTCTGAAGTATAAACACTGTCTTTTCTAAGTTTCTTTGGGTTATGGTATTTATGACAACAACAGAAAGCAAACTAGGGCAGCCTATAACCCTGTTACAGAAGTCCACTCAGATAACTCTTAGTGTCTCCTTAACAGGAGCTACCCAGAAGGCAATGCCTAGCCAATGCAGTCTGTGGATAAAAAGGTGGACACTTGGCTCTCAAAGTTTTCCTGGAGCGGAAAGTATGGGATGGCATCTCCCTCTTAGAGGGAAACCAGTACTGTGAGTCCAAGATTCATAGGAGCTGAAGAGAAAAGGGCTTATTTCTTTGATGGCCTCTAGGGGTCCCTGCCTTACCAATGAGTCTCACTGACAAAAGAGGAAAAGTCCAGTGTGGATAAAAACAGACTTTGGTCTGCAGCCTAAATCCTCAGTTCACAACAGTTCCCTAGTAGCTTTCTAGCTTGGAGCCCTTGGGGGTCTCTGCTCAAAATTTGTCCTTCATAGAGAGAAAATGGCAAAGCCCTTCAGACACTGAAAGTGACACCATGCTGAGATTCAAATGAGAATGTCCCCCATAGGTTCACATGTTTGAACACTTGGTCTCCAGTTGGTGGTGCTGTTTGGAGAAGTCATAGACCATTAGGAGGTAGAGACTTGCGGGAGGAAGTACATCACTAGGGGCAGTTTTGAAGGTTTATAACCTCACCTGCCCACCCCCCTCTTCTTTCTGTATATGGATGAAATATAATCACTGGGTCCTTGCTCTTTCCTCCATGCCTTCCTTGCCTATCTCAGCCATGATGAACTCTGACTCCAAAATCCTAAGCCAAAACAAATGCCTATGTTCTCTAAGCTGATTCCAGTTATAGCATTTATCACAACAGCAGCATGGTAACTAATATATATTTCTCTTTGCCCATCACGTTCTCCTCTTATTATTTATTTGCTTCAGGCTTTCTGTATGGTGAATGTATGTGTGAGGCTAGGTATGTGTATGCCACAGTGTGAAGGTCCCTGTGGCTTGATGGCCAGTCAGTCTAGCTAAGTCTGTGAAAGTCAGACTCAGTGAGAGACTGTGTCTCAAAAGCTAAGGGAGACATGGGCACACGCGCGTGCGCGCACACACACACACACACACACACATGCGCATGCGCACACATACATACATACATACACACACACCGAACATATAATTATATTGTTATTTTTAACTTAGGAAAATAATGATACTAAAAATAAAGCAAATTTGTATTATTGATCATCTGTTTAAATTATGTCCTACATATGAAAAGCTGTATCTTTTAAAATCTATACAACAGAAGAAAATAGCTAAGGACAGTATGTCTAGCATACTACATATGTTATAACTTATTCATTGTATCAGCAACAGCAACCCAAATATGTCAAATTGCACCAAAACCCCAGAATTGTAGCTACTGCCCTGAACAGATTATATAGTCCAGCTCCAAACTGGGCTCAAGGAAACTGTGTTGGTTTTCTACCATTGTGTCAAAACATCATGAAGACAATTGATTTTATAAAGAAAATGCTTATTCGGCTCAGTTTCAGTACCTGGTTTTTAATGTCTGTGGTAGAGAAAGCCTATTCAGATGTCTCTGTGTGTATTGCAGTATGTGTATACACATGTCTATGGAGTTCAAAGGTAGGTAAACATGTTAGCTTCTAGTCAAGGACTCAATTTTGCTGTGAATAACATGTAAACAATCAGATATGGCTTCATTGATGTAAAATTCTGTTAATAGAAATAGACTATGGGGATTCGTTGCCTACAACTGCTTTG